GGCCCTCCTCCCTCTGGCCAGTTTCTCCCTCTCTCTAACTGCCCCATCTGCTGAGGGAGGGATGGTCTGAATGCCTCACTCACAGCCTTTGTCTGACTGGGGCTGTGGTTGGTATTCTGCAGTGTCAGTGAGCTCAGTGTGCCTCGGATCCTGGTGGCTGGGGGCATCGCAGGGATCTTCAATTGGGCTGTGGCAATCCCCCCGGACGTGCTCAAGTCCCGCTTCCAGACTGGTTAGTGGAGGGTAGTGGGGTAGATGTGGGTGGAGTGGGTACCAGAACTGGCCTGCCCCTGGGATGCAGAGCTCTTAGGGCCCTAGAGATAGTGTCCACAGCAGCACCCAGCATCTGTCTGACCAACATTTTCCCTTGCAGTCATTTGTGTTCTAGCAACCCTAGACTCATTCATTTCCTGTTGGCCAAAACACAAAATAAGTGAGATAAGCAGTCAAATCAACTCTGCTGCCTTCTCATGAGCAGAAGGACTATTAGATTCTTCATTCTTCCTCTCCACTCCCTCAGAATCAGTAATCCAGACATTGTGTCTGTTTGTCCCAAGGTGGTGAACTGTGTTGTCTGTGAACTGGTCCCAGATGACCTAGAGGGTGTCCTGTTCCTGATGCAGTGACCTTGCAGGAAGACTTGACTATAAAATTTTCTCCATGTGGGTCACCATAGGCAGGTCAGGAAGCTTCCTAAAGCCTTAACAGTTGGATTCCACCCGCAGCACCTCCTGGAAAATATCCTAATGGTTTCAGAGATGTACTGAGAGAGCTGATCCGGAATGAAGGAGTCACATCCTTGTATAAGGGGTTCAATGCGGTGATGATCCGAGCCTTTCCAGCCAATGCGGTAAGTGGAAGACAGGGACTATGCTTTCCCTTCAGGGCTTAGAGCAGGTTCCAAGCTCTAGGGGGCTGACTTTTGCTTGTTCCTAGGATTGGACTGGGGGCTCAGTTTTCCCCAAATCCCACCCTTGGCCAGAGCCTCCTTATTTGCTTCTTTTCCTGAAGCTTCAGGAGGGGATGTCTTTGGGATTCTTTGAGGGGAGGGGCTTTTTTTTTTTTTTAAAGATTTTATTCATTCATTTGAGAGAGAGTGAGAAAGAGCACAAGCAGGGGGAGAGGCAGAGGGAGAGGGAGAAGCAGACTCCCTGCTGAGCTGGGAGCCCGACGTGGGGCTCGATCCCAGGATTTGGAGATCACAACCCAAGCCCAAGGAAGACGCTCCACCATCTGAGCCACGCAGGCGCCCCATGAGAGGTGGGGCTTTGATCTCCTGACTAGGTCATCAGAAATGGGTAGTTGTGAGATGTGGATTTTCTTCCCCTCTCAGGAATACCAAAGCACAGCTTGATTCCCTGACCTGGGGTGGGAATGAAGTTGGGGAGAGGTTCTGATGAAGTTAGGGAAGGGTTCTGGTCCTGACAGCGTCAGCCAAGCATGGTGCTGGGGTCTCTGTGATAGTCACAACCCCTGCTAGCTTTTTTCTTCCTTCTAACCCCTTCTCAGGCCTGTTTCCTTGGCTTTGAAGTTGCCATGAAGTTCCTTAATTGGGCCACCCCCAACTTGTGAGGCTGAAGGCTGCTCAAGGCTTCTGGATGGTGGAGGCTATCACAGAGGAGGAGCGGTGGGCAGGACTAGGCAGTCCTGAAAGGCAAAGGGAGGGGAATGGTGGGATCAGAGCTCTGTACATGGACTTGTTGAGACCATTGCCTTAATGACATCTTCTACCTGGTATAACTTGGTGTGCCATTTTGAAACTTGCATTTACTCATATCAATTTAAGGGATCTCAAGAGGATTTGGAGGTGGAGTAAGTAGCTTCTAGACCAGAGATACCACCAATGGTCAGAGAGCTATCTACTGGTTAACTACAGGCCCTGCTACACCCAAACTACTACTCGAGAAAGAGGGAATTTCAGCTTCTTACTGGAGACATGATGCATATTTTCAACCAACTGACCAAGAGCTGGTGTTTTCTTCGATCCCTACCCACCAGATTTCCAGGGTATCACTTAATCCTGGCCTGCACATGGGGATGTGGACTTCAGGTCCACATCTCTCTGTCCAGGTGGACTGAGCAAATGTGCCTAGGGGCAGATAGCCTGTTAACAGTCGGGTTGATTTTTCTTTTTAAATGCATGCAAGCAATCAAAACTAAAACTATAGTAGCCTAATTTCCCAGGAGTAGATGGAGAGCTTTCCCTCCTACACAGCAAGAAGGGTTTTGAATTAACAGTCCTAGCCTGCTGAGATAAGTGACAAAGCCTGGGGTGTAGGAAAGGCTCTTTTCACGCACTCTTTTCTCATGAGAGTGCCCTATTTTAACAGGAAACAATAAATATTGTTTCTAATTTTTGCATTGTGTGAAATTATTTTGATTCTGGGTCATTTCAGCAGGCAGCCTGTGGCCGTGGTGGAGGCTGTCAGGGATCTGGTATCCTTTTGTGGCTTCAGGCAGGGGCTTCAGCAGGAGAAAGAGGAGGAAGTTTTGGCTAGTCCAGACTTCCCTGACTGTTCTAGAAGCAACTGCCTGATGGGGAGGGGAAATGGCGTGGGGTGGAGGGGGGCTTGATTGCTAACTGTTCCCATAGTCCTCAGTATAAGCCTGCAGCCCTTCCCTTCATTCTTTCACCTCTCTGCCCTGAGCTAACAGAGATGATGGTTCTAAAAGCCAAAAGCAATCCTGACTTATCATATGAATTTGGGGGTCACTGTGATCTGATGTCACCAGCCAGGCTTTGCTAATTAGGCTATTGATGATGCCCAGGTACATCCAGAAGAGGTAAGGGAGACAAGTTAATTTGTCTTTGTCTGGTGGCTGGAGCTGGGCTTCTCTGGCATTGTCCCATCTGGCAGTCACAGAGTTCTGCTGTATGTCCCACCTTGCCGCAACTGCACAGAGACCCTTGGACTTCGGCTTTAGCGCCATCACTCTGCATAAGGGGGGTGAGGGGACAGGGACCCACCCCCATCTGGGAATGGGCGTGGCCAGCCCGGCAGGAAGCTGAAGATTTGGGCCTTTAAGGAAGGGTACTTTATTCCTGGGAAGACATTTCTGGATGACCAGAAAGGAATTATAATCAAGTAAAAAGAAAAAAACATTGTTTAGAGATGAAAATTGTGTGCCCTCTGCTTAGAAATATTAATTCAGTGTTCTGCCTGCCCCCTCACGCGGCAGGCTGTCTTTATTTAATCTCACTGGTTTGAAGAAGGCCACATATGTGTTTCTTGAAGCTCTTCTTGGCAGCACCCTGTCCTTGAGATAATTCTGCAACCTCAGCCTTTGCCTGGAAGCCCCTATGATTGCATTTGCATTCCAGCCAAATGACAGCCATTCCCATAGGTCAGCATCACTTTTACAGTCCGTGCTTCTGGATAATATGCCCTTTGAAACAGCTTCCATTTTAAAATGGAAAGTTTTGGTTCCTTGATGTTAGTGGTGGTAGATTCTTCTATTCCTTTGGTTGTTCAATAGGTGTTAAGTCAAATAGGAAGCCCCAGGAGACATATTTGTGAAGGGAGCAGAGCAGATGGTTAGTAACTCCCTCCTGGCTGGCACTTCCTTTTTACGATGCACTTTGAAATGCCACCTGTTCCTGATATATCTCTTCTCTCCCTGATGGGGGTAAGCGTGGGGGAAAGACTGGGGCCCTCCTCAGTAATTTCTCTGTCACAGACAGCATTAAGTAGAGAAGCCAGACAGCAGGTGTTAAAACAACCAGCCGGTGATAACAGCCTCACCCAGGCACAAAGAAGAGTATAACTGGGTTAAAGGTGAGGGGCAGACAGTGGGATGTTGCAAGAAGCCTATTAGAAGCAACAGTAGCACCATTTCTGCTGTAAGGTCATACCATCTCCACCCACAGTTCTTTCCCTACAGTTCTTCTGAGGCTGGAACCCCCTATGCCCTTTCTAACCTTCCCATGGGTTCATTCTTATTTCTTTATCCCCATGTCACTCAATGTTTAGTGGGCAGGGATTTTTACCCCCACTTTCAGATGTACAGGCCAATGCTCAGACAGGGTAAGTTGATCTGCCAAGATCATTGGCAGATTGATAATAGAGTGCAGGTAACAGAGTGATGTCTGGGTGTCCACAGGCCTGAAGAAAGGCTTGTGAAACTATCAGAGGCTGTCCTGGGGCTGCTTGACCCAAGCTCCAGGAGGCCTGTCTGTACTACAGGGTCAAAGTCTGGCCACTGGCCTGTGAGTCAGGCCACAGGTAGCGTAGTCCCAGTAGGCACTGGGAAAGCCCCAGGGCCAGGTGTTCCCTGAGGGCTCTCTTTTCTGCTTTTTCTGCTCTGGTGAGCATATAGGCCTGTGGCTCTCCAGCCAGGCTCTCCCTTGCTTCCCAGGTTCTGTCCTTGCCTTGAGGGGTCTCTGAGGCAGGCCCAAGGTCTGCTGCAGAAACTGACACTTTCTTGGGACACAGTGTCCTGGAGAAGGGGTGGCTCACAGGTGCAGAAACAGGTGGCCTGGGAATTAACTGCTCCCTGGGGCATGGATGCTTGTTAAAATAGAGCAGACTTCCTGGACCAAAGGCAGTAGCCACATGAGGGAGGCATTATAGAGGCTGAAGGACAGCTTGGGTGATGACAGAGAAAACATAGCACACTTCCCCAAGCCTTCCTGTCCAAGAGGCTCATAAACACTTCTAAGGCAAAACAGAAATTGAGGGGCGTAGATACTAAATGAGCTGGAAGACTGGACCAGAGGGGCTGGGATGCAGGGGTGGTCAGATGATCAACAGGTTCCAGGAGACAGGTAGGGGACTGGAGTGGCTCAGAGATCCCCTTTGGGCAGAGAAGAGGGAGGTGTTGCTGCTTGGGCTGAGTCTACTCCCACACCCCCATTAGGCAGAGGGTATCACAGGGCAGAAGGCATATAAACTGGGAGGTGTGGGCCAAGAGAGGGCTTCCAGAGAAGTCTGGGGAGTTTGGGTGTTTTCCTTCTTCCTGGAAAGAGAAAAAAAACCTTTAAAATAATAAACCTATCAAGAGTACATGAAATCCACTGTTTTATTGGAAATAGTAGTTGGGGTACTCTACCCATGTTCATTTTCACCAGACCCACTGCTCTTGGGCTAAACATGTGCCCCACCTGTGTTACTGTGATCCATAGTTGTAAACATCTCTGAGAATTGGCCCCGTTGTGTTCATGTCTGCCCGTGGTTGGTGGTGTGGCAGTCTGTGTAAGATTTGACTGCCTGCTGGGTAGTGACTCCTAGGACTGGCGCTTGGAGCTGAGCACCTGTCAGTGCTCTGGGGCCTCCTCTTCTCTGCTACAGTCTCTATATTTCTCTTGCTTTTGAGGGTCTCTGTTTTTGCCTTTTTCCCCACCATCACTTACTGTTGGCAGCTGTTTTCCAGTTACCTGCTGCCTGTGGGTTTGGTTGCCATGGTAACCTCTAGTGGTAGAGCTGGACAGGCTTGAATGAAGGCACCTCCTAGAGGGTAAGGGTAGAAGATGTGGGATTCAGGGCCCTGGTATTCTCTCTTGCTCTAAGGTACTCTTCTATGGCCAGCTCAACTGGGCATTCATGGAAGGCCCTTGGGACTCCACTTGCAACAGAAGGGCTTCCCAGAAGGGGCAGGGATGGATCCCTACTCTTGGGCCAGGGCTAGGGAGGGGAGCCACATAGGGCCTGGAGGCTGGCTGTCCGTCCTTACTCTCATGGTGGTCTGTGGAGACAGGTAAGGAACAGCTATGGGGTTCCTGCTTTCTGTGGCCCTCATTCCCTCCACGTCCAAAGATGCTCTTTGAATGTCGTGTTTGCTGGATGGATGGATGGATGGCCAAGCCTTGGGGCAATTGACAGCAAACCAGTCTACTCCTGGCAGAGGCTGATGGAGGTTTCTAGGAGTGACTGGGAGAACCTGCCCACACCCAGCTCTGTCATCAGCCTAGAGTAGCCTTCCTCTATCTTATTTTGTAATTGAGGTGAGAGTCCTAACCATATAGGCGCCTGTCCCCCTTTAAAACATAAAACCTGAAGAATGAGCAAGCAAGGGAGTGGAGCTGTGAATTTGCCTTTCCAAAGGGTTGGTTGTAGGATTGTTTGAAGCAGGCAGATCCCCAGGTGTGGTGGGTGCAGTGGGAGTAACACCCAGGTTTTCTGGGTATGGGCTGATTCCTAGAAAACTTGGAAGGGTTGGTCTACTCAAGAGCAGATGAACCCTGCCCCATTAGCTTCTTACTGCCCATCCTTAGTGAAGTGTTCATAAGCTGAGATCAGAAAAACACTTTAAAGAAAAGGATCCTGAGACAGAGGTCAGGAGAGCAGTTTCACTGACTCCACTTGCTATGTGGAAGCATTCATTCATTCATTCATTCATTCAGTAAACCTTCTCCAACAGTCTGTAGTAAGGAACCGACAGGAAACAAATTGGACACTATCCCTGCTCTCACAAAGTAAATTGCACAAGACTCCCCCCGGGGGCAAGGAACTTGTCCAGGGAGACACTGGAGTTTGGAATCACAGGCTCACCTGGCCTAGAGCGTGGATGGCTTCTGTACCCAGCAGGGATCGGTGCTCCTGTTTCCAGAAACTGTTTCCAGCAGCACTGAACTCCTGGGTGTGTGCCAAGCCAATATGAGAGGTCTTAGTGCTTATTTTAATTAATACTGGGTAATTACCAGGTGGAGCTTAACCATCCCAAATGCCTTGGAGGTTCCCAAGCCTACAGCTCGTCACTTTCTGTCTGGGCCCAGCAAGGAGAGGCAGGATTCTGTCCTATGCCCACTGGGACTTTCTTCAGCACTGTGACCCAGGACAATCACCTTTTTCTATTCCCTTTGATCTGGTGTGGGTGAAGGGGGCAACTTGGGAAATAGCCTAGCCTCTCCACTTCACCTATGCCCCCTCCCTAGGGGCATAGGATAACTGCTTTGTGGTCTGCTCAACACCACCAAACGGTGTGGGCCCAGGGTGGAGTGTGGGAAGAGAAGAGGCCTGCAGAATCCTGGTGGGAGTGCTCAAGAGGAGGAAGAGACCCAGAGGTGGTTCCTGCTCTGCGTCAGGGTACATATTTGGCCCAGTGACTCTTCCAGGCTTATTTCTCTGCCTGTGGCTCCCAAATTACTATATCACAGAAACTCCTACCATCTACCACGCCTTTCCCCTCTGACATATCACAGACCTCCTGCCAGACTTCTGAAGGTCCTATTGTCATGCCACCATTCCACCCCGGGACCAGGGTGGTCCTGACTTTTTACCAGCCCTTTGCTCTTGCTGTCCTCTGTGTTCAGATGGCTTTCCTCAAGATTTTCCTGTAGTCGGATCCTGTCCAGGCCTCGGAGTCAGCCTGAATGTCACCCCCTAAAGTGGGTCCTCTTGCTCTCCACGACAGCCGGAACCACACTGAGGTTGTAATGTGCGTGCCAGGCGTCTGGCTATCTGGCTCTAGGCTGTGTCCCTGGAGCCTACCAAGTGCTGGCAAGCAGAAGGCTTTTAGTGAATGTTGAAACAATATGTGAAAGGTCTTCGGGACTAGGTGGGAAGCACTGACGACTCCCTTTAGCGGGCAGATCTCTCATGCCCTCGACTCGACGCGGGACTGCACGGGACCGGCGGGCGGCCCAGCGGCGCACGCGCACTGGGGGCCGGCGGTCGGCGGGGGCGCGCACGCCCGCGACCGCGTGCGTCACAACCCGGGCTTCTGCCCCGCCCGTCCCGCCTGCCCGCTCGTCGGTCCCCGCGGCGGCGGCGGCGGCGGCGGCTGCCCAGTGACAACGGAGGCGGCACCAGGCCGGCCGTAGAAGCTTAGGGTCGTACGGCCTGGAAACGCACACCCGGCCGAAGGGCGGCGCCGCTCGAGGAAGGCCAGAGCCGGGTCGCGCGGGAGGAAACCTCGCGGGCGCCGGGCGAGAGGCCGGCGTGAGGGAGCGCGGAGGCAGTGGCCGCCGCCGGCCCGGACCCGCCTGTTCTCCCGGCCGCCGCCGGCATGAGCCACATCCAGATCCCGCCGGGGCTCACGGAGCTGCTGCAGGGCTACACGGTGGAGGTGCTGCGGCAGCAGCCGCCCGACCTCGTCGACTTCGCGGTGGACTACTTCACCCGCCTGCGCGAGGCCCGCTCGCAACCCGCCAGCCCGCCCGCCGCCCCTCCTTCCGGCTCCCAGGTTCTGGAGCCCTGCCCTGGCCTGGTCGCCGACGCGAAGGCGGACACCGAGTCGGAGGACGACGAGGACCTGGATGGTAGGCGGCGGGCTGGGCCGACGTTCGCGGTGGGGGGACGGAGATGGCGGTATGGGGGTCTCCAGCGGCGGTCTAGAGGGGCTGCGGGGGCCGACCACACTGGGCCGGGACCTTGGAGCTCTCGAGCGGAGTTTGTCGGGGTTCCCCGAGCCGCGGGCGTGAGCCCCGCGTGCGCCACTTCCCGGCTGAGCTCGGCGGTCCTCCGAGCCCTGTAGCGCACCGAGTGAGTTGTCAGATTCAGCCTGGGAGAAAACGTGCGCGCCTTCGGCCCGCGTGGTGGCGCGGAGCCCACGTCGGCCTCGCCTCTGCTGGGGGACCCTTCGCCGGGTTTGGTTCCGAAGACAAGGAGGCTCACATCCACCGACTCGTCTTTAATAACCAGGACGGTAACTTTGTTTGGAAATCATTCATTTTGTGAAAAGTTATGGTGAAAACTTTAAGCATAGGCAAAAGTAGAGAGAGAAGGGGTGAAATGAACCCCTATATGTCATCATCCATATTCAACAGTTTAAATATCTGTCACAAATGTTTCATCTCTACTTTTTTTTCTTTGCTCAAGTATTTTGAAGCAGGTCCCAGTCAGGTCATTTCACCTCTGCATAACTGGATGTGGATTTCTTAAAATATTCTTAGTATTTCTTGAAATTTCTTAAAGTATTTCTTAAAATATATGTAATATATATTTCGGCTTCGCTAAAACGATTGGATCAAACGATTGGTGAGGATAAACAGTTACTATCTTGTTTAGCATATAGGGTGCAGGAAAAAAAGACAACACTTTCTGTATCTGATTTAGGCAAGGTTGTCAAAAAACTCCATTTTCCTTGGTTGCTTCAACATAGGTTTTGTCAATTTAACAATAGAATTATCCTACTTTTGAGCCGCCAAAATTTAACAAAACAATGAAAACAGATAAAGTTAGAAGACTTAGTGTTATTAGAGCATGTGGGGGGGGGTAGTTCTGAGTCGAATCCACATTCAGGTCCTTTAGCAAGGGGTTAATTATCCGTCCTTGCTGTTGGAGGTTGTAAGCTTCAGGGTTGTGGACAACTTCCCATAGTTTATTCACCGCCAAGAGTAGAAATGGTTCTGTTTTTCTTTGACTTTTTGTCCATTAAATTATGAGATTTTCACCTTAAGCCTAGAAATCAAATTGTTATTTTCCAAATCTCTTGCACAGATTTGTTTTGTGGTCTAAAACAAGTGGTTAAACCTGTTTGATTTCAGATTCACTTACCTTTAAAATGGGGACAGTGACAATGATCTCCCAGGGATAAATGTGTCTCTTAAAGTTTTATTTTTTAGGAGTGACTCCTACATTTGTTTGACTGTCATATCTATAAATCACAAAGCTGTAACCTGCTTTGTGAAAATTTTATGTACACATATTAGTATTTTTTTTTTATTTTTAAAGATTATTTATTCATTCATGAGAGACGGAGAGAGAGAGAGAGAGAGAGAGAAGCAGAGGGAGAATTAGGCCCTCAAGGAGCAGGGAGCCCGATGCGGGACTCGATCCCAGGACACTGGGATCATGACCTGAGCCGAAGGCAGACGCTTAACCATCTGAGCCACCCAGGCGCCCCCACATATTAGTATTTTAGAAATTAGTCCCAGATGAGTAAAATGGAATTTATAGGTTTTGTGTTATGTCTACCTTCTTTGTCATCTTTGATATCTTTTTCAAAATTGAGTTGATTTTGATGAGTTGATGAGTTCAAAATTAAATCTTTGTAACCCTGTGCTTTATTTTATTGGCATGTAAATATTTGTTGTTTATATCTCTAACGTGGCTGTGCTATGTATAATTATAGAAATCAACACAAGGTGAACTTCTATTTACAGATAATAGACTAAAAATACATTGCACACAATGAGATACCACTTCACACCCATGAGAATGGCTATTATGAAAAAAAATTGCAAGTGTTGGTGAGAATGTAGAGAAGTGGGAGCCCTTGTTCATTGCTGTTGGGAATGTAAATGGTCTGGCTGCTGTGGAAAAACAGTTTGGTGGGTTCCTAAAAAATTAAAGAATTACCTTATGATCAAGCACTTTCACTGCTATGTATATATCCCAAAGAATTGGGGAGTCATATATATAGTTACATGCCAGTGTTTATTGCAGCATTATTTACAATAGCCAAAAGGTAGAAACAATTCATGTCCTGTCAGCAGATGAATAGATAAATAAATTGTGGTGTATACATACTATGAAATACTATTCATCCTTTAAAAGGAATGAAATTCTAATACATGCTACACCATGGATGAACCATGAACATATTATGCTAGTGCACTATGCCAGACACCAAAAGACAAATGTATGATTCCGCTTATATGAGGTACCTAGAATAGGTAAATTTCACAGAGACAGAAAGTAGGATAGAGGTTAGCTGGAGCTGGTAATAGGGTGTTATTGTTTAATGGGTGTAGAGTTTCTGTTTGGGATGATGAAAAAGTTCTGAAATTGGATAGGGGTGATGGTTGCACAACACTGTGGATGTACTTAATGCCATGAGTTGAACACTTAAATGGTTAAAATGGTAAGTTTTGGGGCACCTGGATGGCTCAGTAGGTTAAATGACTGCCCTCGGCTCTGGTCATGATCCTGGAGTCCCGGGGTCAAGTCCCACATCGGGCTCCCTGTTCATTGGGGAGTGTGCTTCTCCCTCTGACCCTCTCCCATCTCATGCTCTCACTCTCTCTCACTATCTCTTAAATAAATAAAATCTTAAAATGGTAAGTTTTATGTATATTTTATCACAATTTTTAAAAAGACAAATACATTACATATCCAGTGATTAGGAACATTAGGGTAATAAGCCCGCAATACCTAAAATAAGAACTAGGATATATAGAGTTGGATCTGTATATAGCAAGGGAGATTTTGTTTAGTATGGCTAACCACCAGTTCAGTTTATAAGATTGTATGCTAGGGGTGCCTCGGTGGCTCAGTCGGTTAAGCGGCTGCCTTCGGCTCGGGTCATGATCCTGGGGTCCTGGGATCGAGCCCCGCATCTGGCTCCCTGCTCAGCGGGGAGCCTGTTTCTCCCTCTCCATCTGCCTGCCACTCTGCCTACTTGTGATTTTTCTCTGGGTGGCTCAGATGGTTAAGCGTCTGCCTTCGGCTCAGGTCATGATCTCGGGGTCCTGGGATTGAGTCCCACATCGGACTCCTTCCTTAACAAGGAGCCTGCTTCTCCCTCTGCCCGCCACTTCCCCTGCTTGTACTCTCCCTCTCTGTCTGGCAGATAAATAAATAAAATCCTTTACAAAAATAAAAAATAAATAAATAAATAAAATATTAAAAAAAGATTGTATGCTATTTGAAACTCTCAAAGTTACTAGCTGTTATTGGTTGTTTTAACAACAGTGTTTCAATGTGAAACGGCACACCAAATATTGTATTGTAATGAGTATTTAACTCTTGGGAAAGCCTGAAGACTTCAGACTTATTAATAAGTTACTGTAACTCTATCCTCACCAGAACAATAAATTGGCATCCAGACTTGATTCACTTCTGTACTTATCATAAAACATTTACATCTGTGGGTCTCCCAGCGCGCGCGCGTGCACGCGCGCGCGCACACACACGGAATACAGTTCACATACTATATAATTCACCCATTTAAAGTGTTTAATTCAGTGGTTTTTTCCTCCCAATGGTTTTATTAAAATCACAGATATGTGCAACCATCACCACAACCAATTTTAGAATAATCAATTTTCATCACCCCCAAAACAACCTCATACCCTAGCCATCAATGCCAACACCTGCATTCCCCTCTAATGTGCTTTCTGTCTGTAGATTTGTCTATTGTGGACATTTCATATAAATGGAATCATACAGTATATGGTCTTTTGCTCTTGGCTTTTGCTTAGCATCGTTTTCAAAGTTCATCAGTATTGTAGCATATATTAATATGTTACTCCTTTTTGTTGCTGAATACTATTCCATTGTATGGATATACCACATTTTGTTTATCGAGTCATCAGTTGATGGACATTTAGGTTGTTTTCACTTTTTAGCTATTATGAATAATGGTGCTTTGAATATTCATGTGTACAAGTTTTCATGTAGATCTATGTTTTTGTTTCTCTTTGGTATATATATGTAGGGGTAGAATTGTTTGACTGTGTGGTAACTCTCTGTTTAACCTTTTTTTTTTTTTTTAAAGATTTTATTTATTTATTTGACAGAGACACAGCAAGAGAGGGAACACAAGCAGGGGGAATGGGAGAGGGAGAGGCAAGCTTCCCATGGAGCAGGGAGCCTGATGTGGGGCTTGATCCCAGGACCCTGGGATCATGACCTGAGCTGAAGGCAGACGCTTAACGGCTGAGCCACCCAGGCACC